ATGTTACCCAAGATTAACGTGTGTTTAACTGATTTTATGGGACACCTTGCTAAGTTAACTGGTCATAATGGTTATGCGTATGTTAATATTTAAACTTGCAAAAATATTACCCAATATAGCAAAACATTTAGACTCGGTATTTAAACTGTATGAATGAATTATCAATTACAATTATATTGTATTCACTCAATGCTTAAATGGGTAGTTGATAATTTGACATATTGATCAAAAAGTAGGTCTAATAATCAGTAGGTCAAATGATTAATACGTAAAATGACCAGTAGGTCAAATGATTAGTAGGTCTAATAATAGGAAACTGTTTAAATGTATGTTTTGCAAAATATATTTATACACAATTTTATCAATTTTATATTATCGCATACTAGGTCAAATGTTGACACGCTAAATTTATTTCTACACTTTTCTCTGGACGTTATTGGTGTATGCGCGTTAAATACCAAAATAAACATCTACAACTCACCAAGCAACGATTTTGTAATTAATGCCAAGAAAAAGTTTACAGCAAATCCTATCAAGGAGATATTATCAATATTGCTACCTGGCCGATTTCTCGCATGGCTAAAAGTATCGGATTCGCAAATTAATACATTTTTCATCGAATTTGTACGTGGTCTAATAAAACATAATGGTGACCATAATTTGGCAACATCGATTGACTATTTCTTAAAACAGTTAATGGAGTTGGGTCATTTTGAACTTGAAAATCTTGTCGCTAACACTTGTGAGATAAACAATAGTAATTTATTTATAAAACCAAGCAACTAGAACATTTTAAAAATATTTTTAATTTGTCGCTCGCATATTTTAACAGATAAATCACCAAGCAAATCGATCATATCGGAAAATGAATTATTAGCCCAGGGTTACATGTTCTTATTAACCGGGGTTCAACCATGCTTTATAACGCTATCATACATGGCCTACGAATTGGCACTCAATCATGATATCCAGAATAGGCTCTACACGGAGATTATGGGAGCGCCGGTAGATTCCAAGTCTGGCGACATAGAGTTGGATGAGCTAATGCACCTACCATTTCTGGATGCCGTACTATCGGAGACCTTGCGCCGACACGTTGCAATAATGCCAATATCCAGGATATCAGCAAATGATTATATATTAGGCAAGTCACAAATATTAAAATTACTGTTTTATAATTACCAAAAATATTAGTAATATTTATAGATTTTAGACTTATCAGGATGCATTACTATAATTTTTGAAGTATCTAGACAATTTTTATGAGAAGTACGGATGTTTAATATATTAGTTTAAAATACAAATAAAATAGGTAAAACTATGTATATAGTTTAAAATAATTTTTAAAAAATATTACATAGAATTATAATTAATATCTATGATAATTAAATGTTTTATGTTGGTGAATCAAATTTATAAATTATAAATCTTTTCATAAAACAGGTGACACCGGTATAACCATCAAAGCGGGACAACAACTGGAGATTCCTTTATATTCTCTACACCATTCCGACGAATACTACCCTGATCCTTTCACATTTGACCCGGACAGATTTATGCCCCATAATAAGCAAAACATCGTCCCGTATACGTACTTACCGTTTAGTAGCGGACCCCGAAATTGCGTGGGAATGATGTTTGCCATACTGGAGGTCAAAGTGTGCTTGGTCCGCATTTTGCGTACGTACCGATTCGTACGTACAACTGGGACAGACGTTCCCGTCCGGCATCAGAGGTTCATTAACCGTATGCTCCCATCGAGATTGGTTGTGGGCATTGAGAAAAGGACCTAGTCTATAATTTATACAATTTTAGTGTTTCAAATAAAATGCATTGGATGGAATTTAAAATTAGGAACTATATTTGAAATTAATTATATTATTTATAGTTAATCAAGATAATTTGTCAATAAACTTATTATTTTAATAAACAAAACTTTCGAAAATTAATAATACTTACATCAGGTAAATTATACCACATAATTAGTAATGTATTTAGTAATTTTTCAATAGGTGTAATTTACATTTACCAGTAAATACACACTAAAATCTAATGTATTATAAAAGTTGCTACATACAATTTCAATTTCAAATTATACACTCAATATGTCGAAAAATAAAATCTCGATAAACATAATCTCGAGAATTTTAAAATACATTTCCACAAATTATATTAATAATTTATCTTGACCTAGTAATCTTAAGGTATTTAATGTTATTTTTAATTTTGATATACTTTAGTATTTTTAGTTTATCTTCTTTAGAGACAATTGTTTTATTGAATATAATTATAAACCACTTCTTAAACGCCACTCAGAGGGTATGGGTGGAAAGGTATCTAGATATTCAAATATTTTTATTATTGCATTAATGTACACAAAATACAATAATATTATTCAATAATAAAATTATTTATAACCTAACTTTAGTTATCAAATTATTAATTATATCTAATCCGATATATTTTATATATCTAATCTAATATATAATTTTATATATTGCAAATTAACATTGATAATACACAATATATTATACACATCATATTCGGTATTCTGTACAGATTTTATAATTAAAGCAATTTTTTAAAAATTTTATAAATAAAACTTTAATACAATAAACCATTAAGTATAAGTATTATTATAATTTGAATAAAAATAGTAATGTCTACAGATTAAATATGCCTGTCTCATATCAATTTATAAATCATCAAAAACAGGTGGCATAGTAGCCCCGGTAGCCGTAGCCATGGCTGCCTTAATGAGATCTTGACTTTGAATCATACACTGGTTCCAGACGACCATAAACTCCAGTCCCTCCCGAACCGTATGATCCCTCGAGTAGTTGAGCCCAGCCTTAGTTCCCTGAACCGCCTCCGGACTGTTCCCTGCAATCACTTTCGCCAACTCTATCGCTGACCCAACAGTCTCAGCACCGGTAGGTAACACCTTACTCACCAATCCATGAGCAAAGGCATCGGTAGCATTGAGATTACGGCCCGTAAACGCCAGTTCCCTCACCAGCGAGTCGTTACCCATAATCTTCGGCACGCGTTGAATGCTACCTAAATCGGTGGCCACACCTACCGTCACCTCACGTATGGAAAAGTAGGCATCGCCTGAACAGTGCCTTACGTCGCAGGCTATGGCCACCTCCAGTCCCACCCCTAGACAGGGGCCGTTCACCGCCGCCACCACCGGTTTAGAGCACTCGGCTATACTGTTGAGCGAGTTTTGCCACTGTTTTGCCAATTTTCGGATTACTTTGGCGTTGTGGGCGATGTCTACCGGCGCTCGAGACACTTGTTCACCTGATATAACCCAACCACCGGCGCTGATCAGTGTATACATCTCACTAAAGTCGAGTCCCGATGAGAATACCGTTCCCTCGCCGGACAGTACGACTGCACGCGTGTGACGACACTCGTCGATGCGGTCGAAACACTCCCGGAGCTCTTGGAATACCTCAGCCGTAATGGAGTTCCGTTTGTCCGGTCGATTAAGGCGGACATGTAGTACGTGAGGTGCCGATGCCTCGACTGCCAGTGTTTTATACGGTGGATGACTGTTGACAGCACCGGTAGCCGCAGAGTAGCAACGTATGGAGTGCTGGCGGAAAGCCGTGTAAAGGGTTGATCGCATGTATCGTATCAATACCCTCATTGTTTGTATAATTTTTTCGTATTAATTAAACTTATGGTTTTATAAATTTATAAAGTTATTGAATACAGTTATATAAACATGGTGATAAATGTAATGTAAACAAGTTTATAAGAAATGGTAAAGGTAGTTAAAGTGCAAACATCAAAACAAGTTTAAGTTAGGTTTACCACAGCACATGTACTATTAATAGTCTATTAACAATGCAAAACCGGGAATCGTTCTCGCTAATTGTAATTAAACCCGACTGAATTATACTGGTATAGTATGGTATAATAATAATATCCAGGTCCCATAATCTAGCGGAATGTCTTAGGT